CAGGAGCAAAAGGCCCTTTAAAAAAGTTTTCAGTTTTGCCAGAAAAAAAAGTGCCTGCAAAGATGAAGCAGAAGAGAGCTTGGTTGCTGAAAGGATTATCATTAAAAAGAAGCCAAGGGTTGAGGATTTAGCTCAGGGTGCTGCCACCTATCTTGTAAGTTCAAGGTCCTGAGTTCAATCCCCAGTACCAAAAACAAAAACAAAAAACAAAAAATCACACCAACAAAAAGAAGTCAAGTACTTTAGATCAGGACAACAGGAAAAATGCCTTATGGGCATGTGAGGAACCAGCAAGGTTGCGCCCTTTGTAGGCTCAAAATTGCAAAAGTGAAAGATTCTGCTTGGAAATAAGAGCCTTAGGGCATTGTTATACAGAACAACGGCCATCTAGGGAATTTATTCCCTGGGATTCAACTCATAGGACTCAGTCATCCAGGCACTCAGAGATCTCTGTAGCTATGATACAAGGGAGCTTGGCTGTTGCTCAAGCTGGTGGCAGACCTTGGGATCATCCCTATGGTGCTGGTTTTACAGCATGTAGAGTGTGAGTTGTGAAGTCAGGGAGCCTTCCACCCAGATTTCAGAAGAAGGGCTGGAAGGCCAGGAAGTGTGCCCCTGAGAGGACAGCGTGTGAAGCAGTGAGAGTGAAGTTTAAAGTGCAGTGGAAAAAGCTGGAGAAGCCAAAACATGGAATGTTTGAGGGAAGGCACAAGGAGTGAGCACAGTCAGCCCAAGAGAGAAACCATAGGAACTACTACCACAGGCAGTTCCATAGAGGATTCTGGAGTTTACATCTCGTGGCCACAACTTGCCCTCAGTGCTGGACACAGAGCTAAAGGATTTAATATTTGCCCTGTGGGTTTTGGTTTTGCTTTGGTCCCATCCTTTTCTATCCCCCTCTTCCTTCCTTTTAGAATGAGAATGTTTACCCTATGCCATTGTATGTCAACAGTCTTTAACTTTCTTTTTTTTGGTACTGGGGATCGAACTCTGGTCCCTGCACTTGAGAGGCAGGCAGCAGAACCACTGAGCTAAATACCTCCCCCACCCTTTTTTTGAGGCAGAGTCTCACTGTGTACTTCAGCTTGGCCTTGAACTCACTATGTAGTCCAGGCTGGCCTCAAACTTATGGTAATCCTCTTGCCTCAGCCTCCCGAGTGCTGCTGGGATTACAGGCACGCACCACAACACCTGGCTCTTTATTTTTATTTTTACAGGGGCCCATAGCCAAAAGTTTGCCTTAAGTCTCAGAGGAGACTTAAGGGGCTTGAACTTTTCAGCAATGCTGAAACTGCTAGTACTATGGTAACTCTTAGAGATTAAATGCATTTTGCATAAAGAGATGTGCAGGACTTTTGGGGGCCAGGGGTAGAATGTTATGGTTTATATCTAGATGCCAACCCCCCAAAGCCTCATATAATCTTAGGCGGGACTTTTGAAAAGTGACTGGATTATGGCGGTGTAATAGCTGGCTTGCTGTTAGGAGGTGGGATCAAGTTGAAACAGGTGGGTAAATGTGGGTGTGACCTGGAAGGATGTATCTCCCTTCTTGGCTCCTCCCTTGACTCTCTCTCTCTCTGCTTCTTCTTTGCCTCTTGGATGCCATGAGGTGAGCAGCTTCCCTTCTGCCAGGCACTTGCACCAGGCCATTCTACCATGGAGCCTGCAGACTATGGACTGAAATCGCTATAAACTATGCGCCAAAATAAACCTTTCCCCTTTTAAGTTGTGGATGTTGGGTATTGTGTTCTAGTGATGAAAAAGTAACAAAAACATGTCATCACTATTCCCCTTTGTTACAGGCCAGAGTTAGGGAGGCACTGTGAGAGCCATACAGAGCCAATCCCTCAACCTCTATGGAGCCCCAGGAAGGGGGAGGAGGGGAGAAGGAAAATCTGCTTCCAGGGGGCCATGGTCAAAGGCTCACACCTCAGCACTGTGCTACCCAGCCACCAGATGGACCCTGCAGGCATCACCATCAGAAGCCAGAATGGAGAAGCACATCTAATGCCAAGCTGTCTCTGGGGCCCCTCCTCCCACTCCCTGAGGCACATGGGGCTTTCAGGACAGAAAACAAAGAGGCTTTGGAAATAGGACAGGCAGCTTTAAACCACTGAAGGGAACAAATAGGGGAAAGGTGACCTTATTTCCCAAACTCTGCAAGCAGAAAGAGGTCTCAAGAGGCCAACCTCAGCAAGAATGGGACAGAAGGGAGCTAAGGCTAGGAGCAGACAAGGGGTCAGAAAGAGCTTCAGCGTGGTGCAGGGACCCATCCCTGACAGGTAGAACATTCGAGGTCTGAGGACTACTTCTGGCTGCTGAGGTCAAGCCAAGCAGGCCCTTCAAGGATTTCTGATATGTGAGGGAAGAGAAGAGGGCTGGTGAGCAGGGGATCAGTTGAGAGCAAGCTCTTGCAGAGGAGGCAAGTGAGGCAAATATGCTGGATAGTAGTGTGGCAGGGTGAAAGGAGGGCAAATGTATGAGTGGACACAGTAACTTGAGGACTATTTCTGGCTACTGAGATCAGGCCATGCAAGCTTTTCTGGTAGTAGCCAGAAAGAAGGACCACTGTTCAGGAGTGAGACTGTAGCCTCCCTCCCTGTGATGCTGTCCATGCCCCAGCATGCAGTGTAAACACCTTAGTACAGGCCTGCAGGACCAGCCCTGTGTCTCATCATTCCCTGGGGGCATCACAAGGGTATCTGGACAAGGCACTGTGTCCACTCATGCACCAGGCCTTATCTCTTCCCTCACATCTCAGAAATCCTTTCCAGACTCTGGAATCTAGCTGAGTTACTGCTTGTGCTGCTCTCCACTGTACTGTGTGTCTTCTCTGTCATTGTCTGTTTCTGGGGGTTCATGATGAAAAACCTCATCCAGCTTTTCCCTTGCTTTTTCCCAAGCCCTACTCCCACATCTGATCTGTAGTGAGGGGACAGAAGAGAAAAACATAAGAAGCTCTTAGTGTCAGCCTGGGAAGTCTAATATTTGACTAATAGGAGTTCCAGAATAAAATGAAATTATTAAAAAAAAAAAAAAAAAGAAGCTGGGCGAGATGGTGCACGCTTGTAATCCCAGCACTCAGGAGGCTGGGGTAGGAGGATCGCCGCAAGTTTGAGGCCAGCCTGGGCTACAAAGTGAGTTCAGGGCCAGCCTGAACTACAAAGGGAGACCCTGACTCAAAAAAAAAAAAGAAATTATCAAAGAAACAGAACAAAAATTTGTGCCAGAACTAAAAGACAGGAGTCTTCAGATTGAAAGGGGTCACCAAGAATCTAAAGTAAAGAATTTCAAGGGCCGGGGATTTAGCTCAGTGGTTCCACCGCCACCTGCCTTGCAAGCGCGAGGTCCCGAGTTCAATCCCTGGTACCAAAAAAAAAAAAAAAGGGAATTTCAAAAGACATATCATTGAAAAATTTTGGAAATAATTTTACAGATAAAAAGAAGATCATAAATATTTCCAAAAAGAAAGAAAGACCATCTGCAAAGACTCAGGAATGAAACGGATCAGATTTTTAAAATTTTATTTTTTACATTTGATTTTTTGAGACAGGGTCTTGCTATGTACTTCAGGCTGGTCTTGAACTCACTATGTAGTCCATGCTGGTCTTGAACTCACAGCAGTCCTCCTGCCTCAGCCTCCTGGGATTACAGGATTACATGTGCCACCATGCCTGGCCACATTTTTTTTTAAATGAGAAGTTCTCACTATGTGCCCAGACTGGTCTTGAACTCCTGATTCAAGTGATCCTCCTGCCTCAGCTTCCAAAAGAGCCGGGACTACAAGCATACACCATCACACCACACTAGTATCACAGCTTTTCAAAATCTATATTGGAAGCCAGAAGAAAATAAACCAATAGTCTTCAAAATTTTAAAGAAAATGATTGTCAACCTATAATTTTGTTCTCACCCAAACTGTCAATTAAAGCTGAGCGCAGAATTACAATTTTTCAGACATAAAAGAATCCAAATGTTCTTCCTATTTACCCTTTCAGGAGCTATTGGAATAAATGTTCCACCAAAGCTATTGTATACATCAAGAAAAGAAAGACCTGCAGGGAGTTGTGGTGTATACCTGTAAGTAATCCCAGCACTTGGGAGGCTAAGGCAGGATGATTGAGAGCTTGAGGCAAGCCTGGACTACATAGTGAGTTCAAAGCTAGCCTGATATCTATCTATGTCTCTCTCTCTCTCTCTTTCTCTCTCTCTCTCTCTCTCTCCTCTTCTCTCCTAGAGCTGGTGAGAAGTGGGCTCCAAAAAAAAAAAAGTTAGAGATGATACAAAGGAAACTATACCAATGGAAAAAATGAGACAAGTATAAACTCCAGGCAAAACATAAAGTTGAAAAGGAGAAGAAATGGGCTCAGTGGTGCTGCCACCTGCCTCAAAAGCGCAAGGTCCTGAGTTTAATCCCTGACACCAAAAAATAAATAAATAAATAAAATAAGAAAGAAAAGGAGAAGAAACATAATCATGATACTACCAACTTGACTATGCAGTAAAAATTATTTTTATAATTATAATAACATAAACACCAAATTATAAACCTTTAAACCATGATAACTATCATGGGAAGGGGGTGGAGTAGGCAGAAGAAGTGTATTTATAGGGGTGAATAAGAAAAGAGCTAAATTTTCAACTACCATAATAGATACTGCCAAAGAACTACTTGAGAAATAGCAGTATTGTTAAGTATATTAGCTTGAAATACAGACTTCTATCTGAGATACAGCTAAGAGTAGTTGTTTCTAGGGAACAGGAATGGGAATTGGAGAGGGATGGGCTACATACTATTTTCCCTTACAAGCATTTCAGTCTTTTTGAACTATGAACACACTTTATATATACTATGAAAAATACATTAATTTTTCTAAGTTTTGAGATAAAGCTTATGGATAAAAACAAAAACTTTGGCATATTAACCATCAAACTCTAATCCTTAAAGCTGTCCTTCTTTCCCCTCCACACCTGCCTACATACATCTCCAACAGAGCTACCTGTTCATTGGTGACCCCAGGGTGCAGAGTCCCATGCTTGTAGTCCTCCAGCAGCTGCACAGCCTCTCTGAGACGTCTCTGCAGAGGAGAGAAAAGAGACATCCTGAGCCACAAATCCAGGGCTCCTGAAAACCATTCTCCAGGGTTACTGCACATCAGTATCAATCAAAGTGACAATGTCTACAGTGTGCAAGGCCTCAGCCCTCAGTTCATGGGACACACAAAAGACAATAGGAAGCTGGTCAGGGATTTAGCTCAGTGGTTTCGCCACCTGCTGCACAAGCGCAAGGACCCGAGTTCAATCCCCAGTACCAAAAAAAGAAAAAAAATAGGAAGGTTACCACCTAGCATCCCTTCCACAGGGAAAAGGCTGACAGCAATGGTATAATAATGTTATGGAACATTACTAGACAGTTTAGAAGTTAAGTAGAGGGCTTGGGATGTGTCTCAGTGATAGAGCACTCACCTAGCCTGTGAGAAGCCCTGGGTTGCATCCCTGGCACTGAACACATTAAAAAAAAAAAAAAGTGAAATAGAGCTACATGTGATTCTGTAGCCATATCTCCAAGATATTTTATTGAGTGAGAAAAAATTGCCAAGTAGTATGATGCCATTTGTTCTACCAAACAAACAAAACACACATATAAAACAGATGTTCTATGAGAATATTTATATGTGCAAATATATCAAAAAGACCTAGAAGAAGACCCACCAAACTGGTGACAAGGTTAAGGGAGGAAGAAAGGGCCCAGACTTTCAGGAGGAATTTTAACCTTAATTGTAATATTGAAAGCTTTAAAAGAAAGAGGGCCAGGGATTTAGCTCAGTGGAGCTGCTGCCTGCCTTGCAACCACAAGGTCCCAAGTTCGATCCCTGGTACCAATAAATAAATAAATAAATAAGCTTTTATGAGAATATATTTATGCAATATATTTATAATTTCTTTTCAACATTTTAAAAACACCAACAGAGATTTACCTACTAAAGTATATATGGTTACAATAACAGAAAGTGAGGAACAAAGAGTAGAATTGTGTGATTTTTTTAAATCTTAAAAGCTAAAAGGACAACAATATTGATAGAAGATAACATTTGTACACGAAAAGGCTTGTATATGAATGTTCATAGCGGCTGGGGATTTATCTCAGTGACACTGTGCCTGCCTTGCGCCTGGCAAGCGCAAGGTCCTGAGTTCGATCCCCCATACAAATAAATAAATAAATAAATAAATAAATAAATAAATAAATAAATGTACATAGCACCACTAGTCACACAGTCCCAAATTCCAAGTAACTAATAGGAGAATGGCTAAGTAAACCACTAATACATGTTACAAGATGGATAAATCTCAGAGACACAATGTGGTGACTGTGTCTTTCAAAGATGACTGCTTCAGTATCCCCACCTCTCATGGTCTTCTAGAACCTTCCCACATCCCCACACAGAGATAAGTCTATGTCCTCACCCCTTGATCCTGGGCTGGTGGACTTTATGACTGCCTCAACAAACAGAAAATAGAGGAAGTAGGGTGATATGACCTCTGAACCTAGGGCATAAAACTGCCTGGTACTCTTCCACTGTCTTAGAACCCAGCTGCCATACTCTAAGGAAGCCCAAGCAGTTTGGGAAAGATCCATGTGCACAGGAACTAGGTCCTGACAACTTCAGCTCAGCCACAAGAAGACAGCCAGCAGCCACCTGCCACTGTGCAAGTGAGCTATTTTGCAGTGGACCTCCCCACCCTTCACCTTGACATTCCTCCCTAGCCAATGCCACGTGGACAAAGATGCACTATTCCCTCTAAGACCTACCCAAACTGAAGGTTAGTGAGCAAAATAATTGACTATGGTTGTTTGCTTTTTTTAAGCCACTATATTTTGAGGTTATTTGTAATACAGAAATAGAAGGCCAAAGCATACAATGATAAGCAAAAAAGAATACGAGAGGGCATATACATTAAAACCTTGGATTGTGAGTAACTTGTTCTGCTGGTATTCTGCAAGACAAGTAAACATTTCTAATAAAATTTCATAAACAAGCAATATCTTGCAATATGAGTAGTACATGATGTGGAATATCACATGATCACAACTGACCCAATAGTTCTCTAGCTCTCTCTCTCTCTCTCTCTCTCTCTCTCTCTCTCTCTCTCTCTCTCTGTCTCTGTCTGTCTCTCTGTCTCTCTGTCTCTGCACAGGAGTGTGGTGATCATCTCCCAACATCAAAATGTTATGGAGGAGATCTCGGGAGAAGATCTAGTCTACAGAGGAAGAGAAGAAAGGGGTGGAGGAGGCCCTTTCTTCAAATGATATTAGGGAGATGTGTAAAATGTGGGAAACAGTACAAAATTTTGTAGAAAAGCACCTCCCAAATAAGGCTGTAGCAGTGTGAGCAATAAATCTGTTTAACAATGCAATGTCACATTTCCTCAAAATATTCAAAAGGAGGCAAAAGCAAGTGTCATTAGGTAGGTTACTTGTTAAAGTTGCATGAGAAGAAAAAGATTCCATTGAGCCAATAGAGAGCAGTGATTCCATTAGCGACAGTGAAAGTTGTCCTACACAATAACCCTCCTCTCTCTTGGCCCCTCACACCAGCCACGAAGGTTTTCAAGGGTAAGGGGAGGTTAATTTGTTTATTTTTCTTTATATTTTGCATTTTCTTTATTATTTTGTATTATATCACAGTATTGTAATCATTTTTATACAAATATTTTTGGGCTGTGGAATGAACCATCGGAGTTTTATTATTTCTTATGGGGAAATTCACTTTGATATACAAGTGCTTTGGATTACAAGCATGTTTCCAGAATGAATTATGCTTGCAAACCAAGGTTTTACTGTACATAACTGCTATACTTGGAGGGGGTTACTGGCTGGGAAAAACACAAAGGAACCTTTTAGGGTAATGGAAATATTCAATGTCTTGATCTGCGTAGTAGTCATGTCTATAAAAATAGCTGTAAAAATTCATCCAGCTATATATACTTAAGAGTCATGTATTTTGATACACAAAGGGTGATCAAAAAATAGAATGAATGTTTAAATTTTTAAAATGTATTACATTAAAAGATATATTGCCATTAATCCTCCCTCACCTCAAACACATTTATCTCATTGTTCTTGCCACTTTTTTTTTTTTTTGAGACAGGATCTCTCTATGTAACTCAGGCTGGCCTTGAACTTGTGGCAATTCTGCTGCCTCAGCTTCCTGAGTGATAGGGTTACAGGTGTGTGCCATCAGACCTGGCTTTGTTCTTGCCACTTTCTGAAGCAGTTCTGCAAGTCCTCTTTCATGAATGTCTTTATGAGGTGTGATCAAAACTATGGTGAATATTGCTGCCAAGTGCTATCTAACGAAAAGCAGGCTTATAAAAATATTATAGTGTGTCTTCACCTACCTTATTCACCAGATCTGGCATCATGAGACTTTTGGCTCCTCCCCAAAATCAAAATGACTATGAAAGGCAAACATTTCGAAATGATTCAGAATATCAATGCAGGCACAACAGTGTATCTAAAGACACTCATGGAAAAGGGCTTCCTTTAGCTCAGTGGTACCGCCACCCGCCTTGAAAGCACAAGGTCCTGAGTTCCATCCCTGACACCAAAAAAAAAAAAAAAAAAAATTTGGTATGAAAAAAGGCTTCCAGAACTGCTTCAGAAAGTGGTAAGAATGATGGGATAAGTGTGTTTCAAGTAAGGGGGAGTATTCTCAGTGGGATTAATGGTAATATATCTTTTAATGTAATAAACTTTTTAAAAATTTAGACATTTTTTTATCACTCCTTGTATATATTGAATACCTCAAAAAATTAACAAGAGACAGACAACAGTGACAGAAAGTGATTTATGTTAAAGTTCAGATGGGAGACCAGACATCAGGGATGGTAAGCATGGGGGAAGAAGCCCACTGAATTCACCCTGCTCCCCTTTTGCCACTGGGACAAGGCTGGCCGAGGACAGGAGCATAGAGACCTCAGCATAACCCAATCTAGGAAGGAAGAAGTCCCCACAAGAGGGAAACCCTGAGGAGGGGCAAGATGTGCTGAGCACACAGCCACCTGCTTTGAGGCAGCAGCCAGAATCACTGCCAGCCACACAAACAACGACACCCTCACTCATCAGTCCTGTGTGGGCAGCACCAGTGGCCAGTGCTGGTCCAAGAAGACCTATCCCACAGCACAGCAGCAGGCAGTCAAGGGACCGAAGCAGCTCTTCTTACTTGGAATGGTCTGAAGGCTGAAAAGGACTGTCTCATTAGTTCCCTAAATTCCAGAGTCTTCCTGGAATCTATTTATTTACAAAGTAGATAGAGCTTTGTCGTTATTTTTTTTTCTTTTTCCCAATTATATAAGCAATTTGTGCTATTTTTTTTTAAAGTCAGAAGAACATAGGAACACATAAAAACTCATTTTAAATCACCTGTACATGTACTACTGAGATAATCACTGCAAAATTGAGGTTGATTTTCCTGCTAGATTTAATACATTTGTTGTTCAACAAAATCAGATTGTGCCGATTGTTTTAACTTGCTTATAGTCACACAAATAGTAAGTGGGCTATTTATTAGTTGAACCCAGAGTTCAGTGAGACCCTTGCTCTGCACACCCTCCCCCATCCAACACTCCCAAAGCCTCCTAGAGACACAGAAGGCTTCTCCCGCCCAAGCCTGCTTCCTCCTGCTGCCTCAGCCTCTGTGGACCTGGACAATGCATGCTCTACTTTCCAATGCTGAATGTGAATGGCCCCACGCTCTCATTATTTCTCCCACTCCAGGGATTCTCCTGAGTTCCTATAACAACCTGGCCAGACTCCATCTCATTCGCCATGGTCATCAAAGGGAGCCTTCCTGCCAAAATAATAAGCTCCAACAAGCTCTGATCTTGGCAAAGGGCATGGGTGAGGGAGAACTAAGCCCAAAGTTCCTGGAGACTAACATGAGGATCCAGGACTGAAGCAGGAAGCTGGAATGGGTGCTCTAGGACGGCTTTGGCCTTGCTTAGCCTCTGTCCAGGTTGGGGACTGGTGCTTCAGGCCCTGTGGAACAGGCAAGGCCCCAGGCCACCTGTCTGGAGA